AATTTAGATTATCTATACTGACAACTGTAAATGCCGTTAAAGGTCATTTTTGTTGTAGTGCATGTTCAAGTCCAAGAAAGTCCCATGACCTGGTTGTGTGTAACTTTCTTGGTTGTTAAGAACACTGATAAAACATCCGGATGTTCTGAATTGGAATGAAAATATTAAATCCAGAGTTGTGCACATTATTGAATTTAAAAAGCAGCCCACACAGAAGACAAGATGCAGCACTGCAAACTGCTCACTAGATATCTGGTCAACTTCTGCCTCATCAAGCCATCAATATGTCTTGTTAATTGCTTCTTTAAGAGCATGGACATAAGAAACGTACCTTCCCAAGAATGATCCAAGAAGCACGTAATGGGAATCTCTTGCTTTCTCATATTCAATAGCTGAGACTTCTAATGGTGAATTACGTGCATGCATCAGATCCCAAGTACACCACATAAGACTAGTACACATAAACAGCCACATCATTTAACTTCGCAAATCATCTTTGATCAATTTGCTAAAGCAGTTGTTGAAGGCAGACAAAGTAACAAGAATACAAAAGTATCTATGATCACCTGCTTCTTAGCATAAGTGTGACTAAGTTATAATGATGCTAGAAGGAAGACGAAGCAAATGACTGAAGCACTAGTTTTCATGGTATCTCCTTTTGGTATTTGCTCCTTTTCTTGGAAAAAGGAACTCCTTGCTTCCCTCCCCTTCTTCCGAGTTCTCTCACACCCAAAAAAAAATTAATAGAATGATTTTTAGAAAAATATAGGATTCTCCCATGCAGACTTAACATTTTAATTAATGGTAACTTTGTTTCGAAAGAATATGAAGGGGGAATGATCACTTATAACTGTCCACAGTATCTATCTTTATCTTTCAAAGTTAAAATGAAGGAGTTGAGCAATGGTATTCGTCCTCCTGATTGAACTTTTAGGACTTTACATATGTGTAGAAGTAGAACACGCCCTTTATGTCGCAATTTTGTCCTAGAGGACTCCCCAGTCCAAGATGTAACCAGGATTTCCTCACAGGTGAACAAACAAATGAATATGGACAGTAACATATTGTTAATGTCGGTTTGAAGTGGTCTAGATTTTCCTTGAAAAAGGAACTTGATTACTCTAAAGAATCTTGCTGGAAATGGCCGAGCTAGAATCTTTTTGAACATATTGTCTAAACATTCAAGTCTTAGTATTTGTTACATGTCTAAGAGGAATATGATCCAACTAGTGCTAATTGGTATTAGAATGTAGTAATTAAAGAAAATGTAAATTTTCTTTTAGCTCAATCATGCTTTAGCATTTTTTCACTCAATTCTCTTGTACATCATTATCATTACTATATAAAAAGTATGAATGTTGGTATTGGGTAGTGCAAGTGTAAGCACTTTTTTATCTTAGTTTTTATATTCCTAAATTACCCTCATGTCTTTTAATTAGAATTATTGCATTTTAATATGGCACTAATTAAAAGAAATAAAACACTCCAACTGATTACATTTTAATAGTATTGGTAATTATAATTAAAAATTCCTCATTAAAAACTATTTACCTACCCTTGGACTCCATCTCCTATTATTATACGTATCAAAATTTCTTAACTGAAGCATGAAAAATTTCTCATTAGTCATTTGTTGAGATTATTAAAAAAAATCAATTTCAAAAAATAGATACTCTCTAGAAATGGAGAAACATACAATAACAAGAAAACCCTTATTCATCTGTATATCTTCACACAAACATCATAAGTAAATTTTACAATTATGCACTTTTGCCAATATGAAGAATTTTTCATGTTGCACCCAATTTCAATATACAAAAAATGATGACATCTTTATAACTGAAATAGCAGTATTAAACTAGAAAAAAGAAATCTAAAATAGCACCATACAAACCACTATTATTATTAATAGCAACTGATCAAAACAAGAAAAACTAAAATAAAATTGAAAACTATTTATAAAATGGCATAAAGTAAATAGCAAATTAATTAAAAAACTAGAATACAATTCAAATAATACCAAAGACAACATCCAAATCACTGATATCCAGGGGAAGACAAATATTGTTATTGACAATAATATAGTAATGCTTCATTTGTATTGGTTTGAGCAAACCAAATCCATCCATCAAGTCAGAAACCATCTCCAATGATAAAATAAGGATTATAATAAGAATAAATATAAAATGAAGAATGATAAAATAAAAATGATATCCAAATTGTTTTTGGTGATATCCAAAATATCCTTATTTTTCTAATGATTACATATATTTATTGTATTGCAATATTAGTGAATAATGGAAGCAATTATGAAATGAAAAGTTTTAAAATTAAGTAAATTTCATTTATGGTGACAATTGTAATTAGACAGATTTAATGCATTCCAATAATTGATAATAATGATACCGGTTATAGATTAAAAGTTGGCAATTAAAAACTAAAACACTGCAATATACAAAAAATTAATATTAAAATTATTAATTAGCCACAATTCTCATCCCAATTTCATGATCATAAAAAAACTAATATTAAAACCAAACATATTGTCCTCATATGAAAAAAGTAGACTTGTTGCTCTTGCTTCACATTGGATTGTGCTAAAAACATGAAAAAAAAATAGAAAAACTCCAACTATCTCTATCCATAACATTTCAATTGTTAGAATATACAAGCCAAAAAAACTTTACATGGTGGATCATTTATACTCCATTATTGACAAAAATAGAATTAACATAATACAAAAAATTCAAATTACATGTATGTTTATTTTTCTAACTTAATTATATTCTTCGTTTATAAAAAAATTTTGATGATTGTGGTTTGTATGCAATAGAGTCATGAATAAACAATACTTTTGGTAAAACATGATATTATCAATATTTGATATGTTAGAGTTCAAGTTATAAATCAAAAAGTGTTTCGTTCATATTTCAAATTCAATCCCAAGGGATGTGTCAACTACATTGGTATGTTTTGTCTCTTTTCATTTAATAAAATTTTTAAAAGTAACTAGCTTAAAAAAATAAATAATATAAAAATACTATATTATGATGTTGATGATCAAATTTCATAAAAAATTTTTAATATTTGAAAAATAATATATTTTAAGATATATCAATCACGTGCAAAGCACGTGAACTATTACTAGTTTAATAAAAACGGCACTAAAAAATTAAAAATAGCGCCCCCTTCTTTGGACTAAAGTTGCACTGTTATTTTTTTGATAAAATTAACAATAAAAGGTAGATTTGGTATTTGATTTTTTCCCCTTTTTTGACTTTTAAAATTTGTTTTGTACATGTTTTCTCAAGTCAAATTGCTAGATTTTTACACAAAAAAAAAAATGAATGGGTCAGTTAGATTCTTCAAAAGTAACCGGGTCAAGGTGATACCTTTCAACAACTTCTGTCTCACCCAAGCTCCCCTCGTTCTGTCTCTTCACCTTCCTCATCTATTTTTCTCTGAATTCTTCACTTGCTTTTCACCCTCTCTCCTACCTTATCAAGAATAATTGATGGTCAGATACCAATACTGGTAAGGATATAGTGAAATTACTCTGAAAAGAATGTAATGTGTGGGATTGAGGGAAAGCATGGAAAACAAAGGATTTGATGAGGAGAAAGAGTTCATAGATCAATTGTCTGGGAATTTTTCAAGGAAAGAAAGGAAGGCAAATGGGAAAATCTTAAATACAACATTTGTCCCTTAAACATATTTCGAAAAGATTAAAAAAAAAGGGAAGGACACATAAAGTCCAACAGCAATGACATTTTCTATCCGCAAAACACTTGAGAAAACTTGGAGAGAAACCCTCCTCTTCCTTCCTATCCTTATCACAAAGGAATGTATAGTAACGATGATATTCCATAATCTAGGCATCATTACCTCATTCCTGTAAAATAATGATTTCTGATAGTCTCGACTCTTAATCATTGTTCTTGTAATGGGATTCTTTTTCCTTGCTGGACTTGTGATGAATCTGCAAAAGTTTTTGTTGAATTCAACAGCATAGAAGCTTAATTAGGGTACATGTTGGAGGTCTTTCCTCATCCTGGATATTTGCCCAAATTCATATCACAAGCGGGATCATGGATTATCTTGTGTTCGGTTGCCCATGTTTTGAACTTCTAAACGTTGAAGTAGATTTACAAGTCTCTTTGTAAAAGAGCCCCGCCTATTCGTGTTACGACCTCCAAAACGGTTCATGGTTTTACGTAAGAAAAAGACTTGCTCAGGGTCGATGCATGAAACACCTTAACTTACTAGCTAGCACCTCCCAATTCCCAAAAGGCCCAACTTTCATATCAAGAATTAAACAAGCTCATCGTTAACGATGGGAGATCTGTCACCTTAAGCGAGACCTCCTAAAACACCAAAAGTAATGCTACAGAACAAACTCTTTTTTTTTTTTTGTTCACACAGAAAAGAATATTTGAGCAATGAAGAGCGAATATAGACAGAACTTTCCCATTAAAGACTGAGCTTTCACTGAGGACTATGCTCCGAATTTAATGTTGCTGTTTAATTTCGAAGCTTGACAAATTTACGCTTCTATTATTGGTGGCCTTAGAGACTACTATTGTCCACCAGTTTTACTATCATTGGTTCTTCCTTCTGATCAAACCTTATCATAAAATATCTCAAGTATCCATTGCTGAGTTACGCTATATGTGCCACTAGTGCCAAGATATGACAATAACCCCTGAAGACTAAGAAGTAGTTTAAGATTTGTGGAGTAGATATTGTTGCAATGAAAGAAGATGCAATTTCTTAGAAAATGTAGCTGCCCTTTTCAGAAGAATATTCAAACCGGCCAAGAGAAGCAACTGTGTAGTTTATCCATTCTTACAATATCATAAACCAAAAGATTATGTTTCTTACAAGTAAAGTTGACTCTTCATAACTGACAGTGAAAACAAAGGCTCACTTTGACATCTTATATAAGGATGCATATTTTAGTTGTTTCACGGGATAAACAAAGAAACATAGAAAAATTGAAAATGGCTAGACACTTGTTTATGACTAGTATTGGCAATGCAGCTAGTCAAGTTGCTCTGATGCAGCATGAGGGTTCAGGGCTCATGGTCATGCTCGGCATGATTGTTATGTCTGTTTCAATTATGTCTCTGATCATCTTTGGTTGCGCAAATTGCGCAGACGGTAAGCCTGGTAAGAGTGGAGGTAGAAGACGATATTATGGTGGCGCTGGAGGTGGTTCTGCTTGTGGTAGTGGTAGTGGCGGGGGAGGAGGTGGTGGTTGTGGTGGCGGGGGAGGAGGCGGCAGTTGTTAAATGATCATTTACTAACTTGGATTCGGAGTACTTCTTTGGAGTGTGAAGGCGTATTTTGCTTCATTAATCAGTAAGAGTTGTAAAACCATCTATGTTGTTTATTAATCTTAGTTTATTGTCTAGTAATAAAGGCATTACGTAATACTAATATATAGTGTAATTCCTGTGTACAAACTGCTTGTTCTATATTCCCAGAAATACGCATCTACATGGTTTCATCATTATGTGTCTTACTTTCAAGAACATCCAACTATCTAAACGTGCAATCAAACACATCAACAAAAGTCACACGAAACCCTGTTCTGTTGTGATTTATATGAAGCAGTGATGCGATAAAGATAGTCTAAATAAGGAGTCAACTTTTTCCATGAGCTCATAAGTAATTTAAATGAAGAGTTTGACAATTTATACACCAGCTACAGTGTCCTTTCAAAATGAAAAAAATAGTCTGGTATATACTAGTTTAAAATTTGTCACCTTTTGAACCCAAAAGAAAAGGAATAAAAATAATAATAATGTGCTGCACAAAGACAGTTGCTGTTCCGAATATGAACATGATAATTTTCCTATAAATCCTTGCCTACACTATTTAATTGTCCTTTTGCTACAACTACCAGGAAAAGTTAGGTACAGGATGGGTCTCAAGACTCAGGGCCAAGGAGATAATATAGAAAGAATGTCAGATGAGTTGAACTGTGGGGATGTTCAATTGCAGGCTTGACAGTATTACACTTCTAATTTTGGCCGTAGACATTACTGTTCACCAGTTTAGCCAGTTCTTCATTATTGATTATTCCTTCCAATGGAACCTGATCTCCAAACCCCGGAAAAATTCATTGCTTAGATACAGGGTATCATACTACTAGACAAAAATGACAACCTCCAGCTAAGTCTAATATTTGAACTGGTAGAAATAGTAAAACAAACGATGCATTTCCGTGCTACTTTTCAAAAGGTTTGCCTTCGAAGAATTGATCAAGAAGAGCAACTACATTTTATCATCACAAACTAGAGTGGTAATAGTTCTTTACAAGCAATGGTTAGCCAACTTAGCTGAGTCCGATACGACCCGATCAAGTCATAATTGAAATGAAAGATACTGATATCCGAATCATGAATAATTTTATATTAACGGTAATTTATTCTGACTCAGTTAATATTGGGTTATTTGAATCTACCAAAATATCTGAATTAATTCGAAGTCGACTCGAATATTTTTTTTTTCTATTTTTAGTAATTTTTTTAGATTTTTTGAAATTTTTTATGTGCAAAATGCATATCACTCGATATCTAACTGATATGCCAGTGGAACAACCATGACGGCAAATAAGACTGTCATAACTGAGATACATGAACCGAGGTTTTTACAAATTAATTATATAAGGATGCATTTTCACGACAAACTAGTGGAACAGAGAGATTGCAAAATGGGTAGATATTTAGTATGAAAAGTGTTGGCAGTGCAATAAGTGAAGCAGATATTATGCAGCAGCATAAATGTTCAGGGCCAATTTTCATGCTTGGCATGATTGTTATATCTGTCTCAATCATTTCTCTGATCATGTTTGGCTGTGCAGACGGGGCTAGTAAGCCTCGCAAGGTTGACAAGCCGCAAAAGACCAAGGAAAAGTGCCAAAAGAGCAGCAACCGTGGTGGCGTATATGATGGTGGGATGCCAGCTGCGGGTGTTTATGCTTCTGCTTGTGGTGGTAGCAGCACTGCTGGTGGTGGTGGCTGTGCATGTGGCGGAGGAGACGGAGGCGGAGGCGGTTGCTAAATCAGTTGATTACTTGGAGTTGGGAAGAGATCACTTCACTAGAAAAACCATCATAATATCTGCATGTTTATATAGTTGGAAGTTATTATCAGCTTTCAATATCAAGAAAAACCCTAGTACTAGCCTAAGTAAATACTAGGCTATTAGCTCCATATGTGATGATCCATGTGTGGATGGGGTTCCAGAAGTTGAACCCCAAGTTCCCTGTGTTAGGTCTGGCCCCAAGAAATTGACGAAAAGGTTTTTGGCAACCCCAAAAGACAAATAATAAAGTAAAAAATAAATAAAACAGGAACACAGAAATTTACGTGGTTCGGTCAAATTGACCTACGTCCACGAGTGGAGGAGGAGCAATATTTTACTATGAAGAAAAAAGTACAAAAGATGCCTTAGGAAAATGTTTTTAGACCCAAAACACCTAATACTAAAAACACAAGAGAGTCCAAAAGTATTTAACTAATCAAAAGGTTTAATGATCCAAAGACCCAAATAACCCGCTAATGCTCTCTTGGTTTTGGTGCACTTAACCCCATCACAGACCCACTATATTTATAGGCAACTAAGGGAAAGATTCCCTTATACAAAAGCCGATGTGGGACAATGCCACATTAACAAATCTCCACTTTGGCGTGTCCCTAACATCAACAATAGCAAAATTGCTCCACTTTCTCCACATAAGCCCCAATGGACCTAAATCAGCAACAACGAATACCAACCCAATTCAAGCATTCCTTGAACTTGTAAACTGGAAGAGGTTTCGTGAACATATCAGCAGGATTCTCCTTGGTACTAATTTTCTGAACAAGAACTTTTCCCTCAGCAATAGTATCTCGAATGAAATGAAATTTCACATCAATGTGTTTCGTCCTCTCATGATACATCTAGTCTTTAGTCAAATGAATGACACTTTGACCAACACAGTAAATAGTAGTAACACCTTGATGCAGACTAAGTTCGCCAAATAGACTCTTCGACCATAAGGATTCTTTGATTGCCTCAGTCATGGCCATATATTCTGCCTCCGTAGTAGATAAAGCTACAACGGGTTGTAAAGTAACTTTCCAACTAACTACACAACCGCCAATGCAAAATACGCAACCTGACAGTGATCTTCTTCTGTCAAGATCTCCAGCATAGTCGAGTCTACAAAACCAACCAAAGTGTCATTATTTCTTCCAAACTCTAAACTACAATTTGAAATCCCTCGCAAGTATTTGAGAATCCACTTCATAGCCTGCCAATGTGCTTTTTCAGGACACGACATATACCTGCTAACCATGCTGATTGCTTGTGCAATATCTGGACGAGTACAAACCATTGTATACATAATGCAACCAATTGCGTTGGAATAAGGAATCCGTGCCATATACTGTGCTTCTTTAACTGACTGTGGTGATTGAGTAGCAGATAGTAGAACACGATTAGCAAGAGGAGTAGTCACAAGTTTAGCATCTTTCATGCCAAAATTCTCCAAGACCTTTTCAAGATAATTTTCTTGAGTCAAGAATAATTTTTCAGCTCCTCGGTCTCTTTTGATCTCCATGCCAAGAATTTTCTTAGTTACTCCCAAATGTTTCATGTCAAATTCACTACTTAACTGCAACTTTAAAGTGTGAATTTCTGACAAATTCTTGGCAACAATGAGCATGTCATCAACATAAAGCAGCAAATAAATAAAAGAACCATCATCTAACTTCCGGAAGTAAACGCAACTATCATACATGCTCTTTGAATAACCATGACTCAACATAAAAGTGTCAAACCTTTTATACCACTGTCTTGGAGACTATAAGGATTTCTTTAGCAAACAAACATGGTCTTCCTTTCCTCCAATTTCAAATCCCTGAGATTGTTTCATATAAATTTTTTCTTCAAGTTCACCATGCAAGAAAGTTGTTTTAACATCAAGCTGCTCAAACTCCAAATCATATATGACAACTAAAGCAAGTAAAACAAGAATAGAGCTATGCTTAACAATAGGTGAAAATACTTCATTAAAATCAATATCTTGTATCTGACTATAGCTCTTTGCAACCAAACGTGCTTTGTACCTTGCATCTTCAACTCGTGGAATACCTTTTTTTTTTCTTGAAAATCCATTTGCATCCGACAATTTTCTTACCTGGAGACGGCTTCACAAGAATCCAAGTTTCATTTCGATAGAGAGACTCAATTTCTTCATTCATCGCAACCAACCACTTAGCAGAATCATCACAAGAAATCGCATTTGAATAAGTAGTAGGCTCATCAACTACATCAGTTTCTTCTGCGATAGACAAAGCATATGCAATCAAATTTGCATATCTTTGTGGTGGTCGAATATCCCTCCTTGGTCTATCTCTGGTAATGAAATATTCTTCTTCTTCTGAATTATTTTCATCAGTAGATTCAGATGCATCTATTGGCACTTGTTGAATAGAAGGACCAGAACTACCAATCTCAAGCTCCACCTGCTTCTACATATTATCATCTGTTTAACAAGAACTAAAAGACGCCTTCTTGGAAAATAACATAGAAAATTCATCAAAAGTAACATCTCTACTGATTATAAATTTTGGAGATTTGAAATCAGGACACCATAATCTGTATCCTTTCACCCCTCGAAGCACACCCAAGGAAAGTACACTTTTTAGCTCGAGGTTCTAATTTTTCATCATTTACATGCATGTATGCTGGACACCTAAAAATTTTAAAATCAGAATAATCAGCAGGAATATCTAACCAAAGTTCCTCAGGAGTTTTGAAATTAAGAGCAGCAGAAGGAGCACGGTTGACAATATAACTGGTCATAGAAATTGCCTCAATCCAAAAATTCTTTGCCAACCCTGCGTTAGAGATCATGCATCTCGCTCTCTCCAAAAGTGATCTGTTCATACGTTCAGTCACACCATTTTGTTGAGACGTCATCCTGATAGTGTGATGCCGAACAATTCCTTCATTTTTACAAAATTCATCAAATTCTCTTTCACAAAATTTCATGTCATTATCTGTTCTAAGCCGCTTGATCTGTTTACCTATCTGTCTTTCAATCAAAACTTTCCATTGTTTGAAAGTGAGGTAAACATTATTCTTATGTTTAAAAAAATAAATCCAAACTTTTCTTGAATAATCATCAATGAAAGTCAACATATACCTGGCACCACCCTTAGACGAAACACGAGATGGATCCCATAAATTTGAATGAATATAATCAAGAGTACCTTTCATCTTATGAATTGCTGGAGAACTGAAGTTAACTCTTTTTTACTTTTCAAAGATACAATGTTCACAGAATTCCAGTGATCCAGTACTCTGACCGCAAAGAAGTCCCCTTTTACTTAGTATGCTCAGGTCTTTCTCGCTCATATATCCCAAACGCATATGCCATAATTTGGTGATGTCAGAATCAAACAAAGATGATGATGACGAAACTGCAACCGAGCCTGTGACAGTAGATCCCTGCAAAACATATAAACTACCAACCCTGCAAACTTTCATTACAATGAGAGCACCTTTAGAAACCTTTATAACGCCATTTTCAGCTGCAAATTTGCACCCAAGAGCCTCTAGGGTGCCCAAAAAGATGAGATTCTTTTTCAAATCAGGAACATGTCTAACATTAGTGAGCGTCCTCACAATACCATCATGCATTTTAATTCGAATTGTACCCTTACCAGCAGCATTACAAGCAGCATTATTACCCATCAAAACAATTCCACCATTGTAAGATTCATAAGTGAAAAATAAATTTCTATTGGGACACATGTGATAAGAGCACCCCAAATCTAAAATCCATTCATTTTTAGACCTTGTCTTGTCATCATTCACAAAGAAAATACTTCCTTCATTCTCATCAGCTGCAACACCAGCTTTGGTAGTCTCAAAATTTTTCTCACCAGGTTTCCCCTTTTGTTTCAATTTATTTTTCAATTTGAAACAATCTGTCTTAACGTGCCTCATTTTATGACAATAATTCCACTCCACATTTTTATGTCTGGATTTAGATCTACTTTTATCAAATTCTCTTCTCTCAGTTCTGCCCTTAACAACCAGACCTTCTGCATGGCCTCCACTAAATTCCCCAGTAATATCCCTGTCTATCTGCTCCTTAGATTTTAATGCAGATTTAATTTTCTGATACAAAATTATTTCTTTTCCATAAATTATAGTATCACGAAAATATTTAAAAGATTGGGGAAGGGAACACAAAAGTAATAGGGCCTGATCCTCATCATCAATTTTTGAATCTATATTTTTCAAATCCATAATAATAGAATCAAATTTATCAAGATGTGAGAATATAGATGTACCTTCAGTCATGCGAAGCATATATAAACTTTGCTTTAAATAAAGCCGATTCTCAATTGTTTTCTTCATGTACAAGACTTTAAGTTTGTCCCACATGGTCTTTGCCGAAGTCTTAGTGGCTACCTCCCGCAAAACCCGTCAGAGAGATTTAGGATAATACTGGACCTTGCTTTCTTATCCATCTCAGCAAAATTTGCATCTGTCACACCCTCTAGCTTTTTCTTAATTCTGTGTATCGCTAGATCAACTCCGTCTTGAACCAAAATGGCCTCCATCTTAAGTTGCTACATCCCGAAATTGACATTCTTGTCGAATTTCTCGATGACAGTCTTTATTATTGTCATTGTTACCACAAAATTCAAAGCCTCCGAAGAAGTTCTGATACCAGTTTGTTAGGTCTTGCCCAGAAAATTGACGAAAGGATTTTTGGTAACCCCAAAAGACAAATAACAAAGCAAAACAGGAACACAGGAATTTATATGGTTCGGTCAAATTAACCTACGTCAACGGGCGAATGAGGAGCAATATTTTATTATGAAGAAGAAAGTACAAAAGATACCTTAGGAAAGTGTTCCTAGGCCCAAAATACCTAATATTAAAAACACAAGAGAGCCCAAAAGTATTTAACTAATCAAAAGGTTTAATGACCCAAAGGCCCAAATCGCCCACTAATGCTCTCTTGGTTTTGGTGCACTTAATCCCATCACAGACCC